CTTGGAAAAGGCAGTGCAACTTTCCCTCCAAGCTCCTATCTATGGTGCTCAACCTTTAAGACTGGAGAAGGGCATTCTAGCTTAATTTTTTCTTCTCTCTCACCTCAGTCCATTCTACCAGGACCAGATGCATTCAGCAAGCCTGTGTTCAAGAAGCTGCCCTATTCCCAAGCAGTGCTTTACTTCTAATCCATACTTGTCTCAGTAGAGAATTCAGTCACAGGAATTTGTTAAGCCTTTTTTTTCATATTAAATAGTTATCCTTGGTAGGAAATCTTCTTATGGTTTAGGCACTTGCTTGTTGTGATTGATTAGACTCTTTTTTTTTTTCTTCTCTCTCTCTCTCTCTCTCACCTCAGTCCATTCTACCAGGACCAGATGCATTCAGCAAGCCTGTGTTCAAGTAGAAGCTGCCCTACACCTCGTGAACTGCAAAGCAGCATAAGGCACCTGGAGCTTCTAGGTCTAGGTAAGAGGCAGGAATGAGGCTTAAGTTCATGTGCTATTTTGGAATTAAAAATTAATTGCAACTCTTACTCATTCCAATTCCCCTGTACCAATGAATGAAGGATAGCCAATTACATTCAATTAATGCCTTCTAAAATTAGTGTAATTTGTTCTAGTAGAGATAACAGTCCAGAGGTTTTCACAAACATGCACTTCTGGCTAGCTATAAAACATACTGATGTTGTTTACTTACACAGTATAGAAGAGACTGTACCTTTAATTATCTTATTGCCACAAACCTTTGAAGTTGGAAATCAGATAAATTCAGTCTCAATCTGTGGTTAAAATTTTTACGTGCTCTTTAACTTCTTGCAACTCTTGTTTATCAATGGATTATTAATGAAACATGGAAGAGAACTCTCCCACTGAGAAGGCTTCAGTCTTTGAAACAGTTTCTGTAGACTAGGCTTGATGGGTTCTTTTAAAGTACACTTAACTATTAAACTACCTGCAGTACAGTATATATGACCTTAGATTGTACAGAGTTAAGGCACCAAATACAAGATAAAACATCCAAAATAAGAAATTTGCTTTACAACTGCACATCTCCACATACCACTTTTGGACAGTCGACTCCCCTTAAACGTCAAGGTAAACATGTGGTCTGAATGTTTCATGCAGCCACAGGAACTGGAGAAAAAAACCCACTTTCCTGAATTTAAATCTTACACTATGATGAACTTTTCTCTCACAAAACTCACACAGCTACTTTTAGTAAGGCATTGCATTGCCTACACAGTATCAGGCAGGCCTAGCAGAAAAAGCACCCTTGCTCCTAGGGTGCTATGGAGACATAACTTCTGGGGTTGAGTAATAAAACAGCTTTGTGATGACAATTCTCTTAAATGTCAAACGCTTAATTACTAGCTTAAGTGGTTAACATTCAAAAGAAAGTACAGGTGAGAACTGCTGCCACAATCCATAGGCTTTATGTAGGCTACATAGACTTCAGTGCCAAGTTTCTCCAGTGAATTGCTCTAAAATGACTGTAACAGAATTTCCACTTTACAGTAAGGATCAGATTCACAGCAAACTCGATGTACTGAAACAGAAGAATGAAACCAATAAACTGTTAGACAAGCTGTCTCATATACTATAGATAGCGGATGCAACTACAATATCCCTTTGCTTTAAACAAGTCACTAAAGTATCTAATTTTTCAATAGATTTATTCAGCAGGAAGCCCGAGGGGGTCTGTAACCTGAACGTTCAAGCTGAATTACTGTTTTTTTAAGAAGTACAACCGTTCTTAACAGAACTCCTCAGTGAGTCCAGCAGAGAGCTCATTTTCATTCTTTTGATGCCAGAGAGGAGAGGTCTTAGTCAGCTTCACAACTGAGAACAACGATCTGAACTTCGTATTTACATATCTCATCATGTATCCAAAAGAATCCGCTGCAGCAGAGTTCTTGTGCTGTTTCCCAGAGCCACCGGAAATAGTAGCCGTTTTTGTAAGCTGCTTCTGTGACTTGGAACTCATCTGAAGCTGGGACATACTTTTCCCTTGATTAAGTAACAGGCAACTGTCTACAGAGAATTTAGCTAAAGGCAAGAAGTTCTAATACTGGATGATTGTATCTTCACCTACCAAGCAAAAGAGGCAGAGGGAACCTTGCAATTTTGTCTGAGTAAAGACAAATACTGTATCATCTGCTTGCTCTTCATTTATACAGTTCTGGAGAGCCATTCAGAAGTCGCACCTCTCGACTGTGATGATCTACAGGCTCTCAGAAGTACAGATGCAGAATTACAAATGAAGCAAGGGACACTGTTTCTTTCAGGGGATCGGTGACTGAAGACAGGGACTGGATCAGGGATGGTATGTTAAAGCTACTCACATTTATTGCTATCTTGGAGTTTTAGACGAAGTGACAAAAGATTGATGTCCTATAGTTGAACAGCCAAACAGGAAATTTTTTTCCTAGACCACTTGAAAAATCTTCATGCCACTCTTTCTTCATTTTCTGCTTCCTAATACTGTGAGGAACTTGTGGTCAGGGAAATTTTTCTCAATAGTTCTATGAAAGCAAAAAGCCTCAAATAATTTTAGATTTGTGCACTTTTCCCCAATTAAGTTCTTTCAGTGGCTAGAGGGCATAGTCTTTTATTAAGTAAGACACACTTTAAATCTTTTTTCCTACCAGAAGGCAAGTGTTCTCAAAGAAAGAATCCTAGTCTCCAGAGATACCAGAGTAGTTTTCACAGATCTTTGTAAATGAGTAGAAAGTGTCCCTTGGCACATGAATAAGTTGAAATACTTGTAGGAAGACTTGTTTCTCTGAAGCTCTTCATAGGCTGATTAAAAGTTTTTAAGAATCTAGAAACTTCTATGTAACAATTCCATAATTTGAGAGAATCAGTTATTTACTGGGATGCTAGAAGGTGATCAGAAAAGGCAGAGAAGGAGGACGGAATTCGCAGAAGCAAAGGTATTTAACTGTAGTGAAAGTCACAGCAGCAGGGTTTACAGCACATTAAGTGGGAGCCATGACAATTGCTGAATCATCTAATTAACTCACATTGGCTACATGACAGCAAATTAGACAGATTAGGAACCATCTACCCAGGCACTAAATTGCCTTTGTGAGGGTTGGATTGTGCACTGTGTCCAACAGAAATTGCTTGGGCAACAGAGGCCGCGTGTTACACATTCCCTTCATGAGTATAGGCTGGCCTCCCTCCATCCAAGTGGCACAATGCCCAGGAATAAGGTCACCATGTTCCAACTCCTGAACGTGTGCTTAAGGAAGACAGCAAGCCCTGGCAGAGAGAAGACATGATGGCAGGAAGCATCACGTACCATGCTTTCAGCTAGCCAAGCCCTCCAAACCAATCTGGCTGCCTTAAAACCTTCTCTAGATAGAACATGCCTGGAGAAATCTCATATGGCTGGCAAAGGAGGATTGAAGTCCTACTTTATTAAATACCTTATTTCTTCAAAATTCACAGTTGCTTATCTGGGAAAATGACAACCATTCCAGCTGCCACTCACCCATCAGGAGGAAAAACACTGAGGTATGGTTAGCAGTACACAGTACTTAAGGGTTTCCATCTGTACAGACTGCTGTTTAAAACTCAAGTTCTTTGACCACTGCAGCTGGTGAAGTGGAGGTGCCAACTCCTTGCAGAGCTATGCACTTTTGGAGAGGAGCTACCAGCTGATTTGTATCATATGTATGATAACACCAGGTGTCTCCTGAAGTCATGTGTTGACAAATTTCTAGAAAATACTTCTAGCTTTCACCTATTTCAAAACAAAGGAAAACACTGCTTCTAGAATGTATGACCTCACAGCAAGGTCATATCAATGCTGCTCTTACAGCAATGCTACAACTGTGTAAGAAGCCAACTGGGATTAAATTCTCTGAAGGGGAGATGGGCCAGAGAGAACTGCTGTCCTGCATGGGCACTTCAGCCACCAGTCAGACAATGCAACAGGCTGGTTATACATACATTTCTCCCTCATGTGGTCCCACGGAACCCAAACTGGTAGAAAGGGAAAAGCAAGTACCTGCCTGATTTTTTATATGCAAGAGCTGCTAAAGGCAAACAAATGCTCTTGTAACATTGCAACAGTCCATATTTTATCCCCATTCTGTAGCTAGCCTCACTTTCCTCAGGGCTAACCAAGCAGACCACTGAAGCTCACAGTTGTTCTTCCAAAGTCAATGGTAATGCCATCCACCTCCAATACAGGTAACACATTAAACAGGTCAATTCTTTATTGTAAAGCTCTGGCTTCTTTTAATCCTTTAAGTGCCAGACACCATCTCCCAAAATACACACTGTCATCTGCTTTGCTAAAACTAGAGTTAAGGTGGGCAGTGTACAGGCACAGATTTTCCCTGGTATCCTATTTATATATGTACTAATCGAAAGGAACTTTTTCAGACTTCTTTTCCATGAACCAGAAATTCAAACTATAAAATAACATTTCTGCTTCACTGGAAAGGTACTACAAAATAGGTGATGATACTAGCAGCTGCACAAAGCATAATGGAACCAGGTTTACATATTTGGCTGTTGGATATATCCAGAAATACAAAGCTCAGTAGCCATAAAATAGACTTCTAATCTCACAGAAAAGGCACTTTAGACCATGCTCCTGTGAGGAGGCTTTTAAAAGGAAACCTGCAAGTATTACGCAAAAGGAAGGAGTTTCTAGTTCTGTCTTAGCAAAAAAGTGCTTGTTGCAACAGTGATCAAGCAGATGTTACCCAAATTACTCATCCGATAATAGCCTGGTATTTCAGTTAGGTTAAAACCTACTGTTGTAATTTGACTGCTCTCTCAAATGCCAATGTATTAGGCACTTAAGGAGCCGATATCTGTGACGCTTCAATACATGGGAACATTTTGCTCAAGTTCCACTGTCAGTGAGACAGGTTCCTAGGCAATCTTGCACCTTAGGATCCTATCGCTGATTCCAAGTGGCTGCAAAAACCAGGATTTAGGAGTCTTAAGTACACTGTGTGTTTTGCATGTCAGGAAATGGTGTCTGTCCTACTGAGAAGGGGTGCAGCAAAGGCAAGGGGACAAATTTCGTAAATTAGTACTTGCATTATGAACAAAAACGTATTAGAGAAATTTAGTATCATTTCAGTGAAAAAGAGAAGATCCAACAAAGTAAGAATTTAAAAAAAGCCAAAGAGGGGAATGCTTAGGATTGTAAGAGTTAAAAGGGTAATGACAGAAAAATACGGAAATTCACAGTCAAAGCAGTTCTGATGGAAACCAATACAAATGGATTAAGCTGCCAAGTACAGGGCACAAAGAGACAGATGAAAGAAGAGTCAGCAAGACATTTTATTAATCAGTCCTTGAACTGGACAGTGCTTGTCAGACTGACATCAGTTAAGCCTAGGAAAGGAATACTCAAGAGAAGTTCATTATAATGCACCTTAACATTGCCTTGATGCATATAAAGTGCTGTCTTCCGAAGGAAACGGAGCAGCCTGCTGCCCCACCATCGGGACTGCTTAGCCTGACAGGCTGAAAGAATGAATTGAATTTTAAGTGAGCTTCAAACCAAGCCCCAGGTTTGCACCTTTAAGATAACAGCAGATGAAAACCTGCACCACCAGATGGGAAGGGTATTCTGATGGCTCATCAATTGCACCTGCAAATGTAATCAAATGGTTATGTGCTGTCATGGGCAAGTCACTGGCACAGTTCCTTAAGTTCATTTCCCCAGGTGCAAATATATAGGCCACTTGCAAGATCAGGTTTCTGCCCACAGTAGCAAAGTTAACAATATTTAACAGCTATTTTTCTCTATCAGCCTATGAATTCTATCCAGACATATCCTGAGTTATGGATAACCTACACATGCAGTTATTTACTGAATTTGATGTTTTCAATATTTGAAACGAAATGCAGTTTATTTTTGCTGTCATATTTTGATGCAAAACAACAAGCTTTGGGCCTGATACACTACTACATATTCCATACCAAGTGTTTTCCTGTTTTACATCAGTAAAAACTGTGATCAGTCAGGGGTTTTTTATGCTTTCATCTAAAATGCTAATACAACATCATCAACTCCCTCCCCTCCCCCCCCCTTTTTTTTTTACCATTTTTATAGAAAAAGTTGTTTCCAGCAACTTCAAGTTCTGCAAGTACTGCAACTGTGCAGTACTGCACTATGCAACTTTGCATAACGCAAGGTTATATAGAGGCAAATTAAAAAAAACCCTAGTATTTTAAAACTACACATATCATGTGCACCACATAGGTCATAATCCAAAACGATTTTAATCCAGTTAAAATATTTGTTAAAACATTTACTACAGAACTGAAAAGAATTATTTATGGATAGCTGTATCCTAATTTCTAGCTTTAGAAAACCATAGCTAAGCAAATTATTCATGCAGAGTTAAATCACTGCCTGCCTGCCTTCCTCTCCTCCCACTGTGCCCACAAGAGGAAAGCAAACCTGGCTGCTTCATGAATTAATTTGGCCTAATGTAATTTGATCTCTGCAGATTTTAACTGTAGTATCATCAAAGTCTCATTCCTCATTTGGAGTTTAGCTTTAATAGTTTAGGGAAATAATTTCTCTCTGTATTAGTTAGATAATATCACACATTCCACTTCTCATTTTTATTCCACATACCTATAACCATGGGATGGCTTTGGTACCTACCCAAATGTTTTCCACAGGTATGCAAGAAATGCAGTGCCTGACACACAGCAGTATCAATACAGCTTTTTATGCTACACAAGAGAAGAATATTTGAAGAACAGTCTGTTGATAAAACCAAACAGTTTCTTAGAAGTGTTACTTTCTTTTTTAACTGAAACTGGAGTATTTGAAGTGGCCTTGGAAAATACAAAGTTGGAATTCAGACCTACATATTACCTGTTTAAACATTTAGTTAAACAAGACATAATAAAAAAGTGCCATATACAAGATTGTCACAGGTATATGAGATTTTTAGAAAAAAGGCAATAAAAATATTCTTTAAGCTGAAAATAAATTCTCTTACCTTTTATATCACGATCTCAGCTTACAGTCACTACATTTCTGCTTATTTTATACAAGTGCATATGGCTATGAAGGTCCGGAGAGAATGAGAATAAAGTGGTATTAACCTGCTGAAAACTGCTTAAAAGTCTTAAGCTGCAACATATAGATGTTCCAATACCATTTTAAAAAACATTCACCTTTCAGTTATTGCTGATTCACAATCTCAAAATACCAACATACAAATATTTAAGAGGAAAAACAACTCGGTAAATTTAGAGCAGCAAAGTTTTTTGAACTGGATGTTTACCAAACACTATGTTTTCCTATCATTTGGTGATGATTTTGAGAGACACAAAAGCAATCCATTTGAAAGTCAAGTTCAGGCCTACCCTTTTTGTGCCTCATATTAAATGATACGGGGAAGAGACAGAGAGAGAGAGAGAATATATTATTTAGTTAGATTTTGGAAAAAATGTATAGTCTATTTTCTTCTTCTGTCTTTTTGCTACATTTCATGTCTGCTGACATGCACAATGGTACAAAGCACTACTGCTCCAAGAGTGACCATTGCAAGTCTTTGTAGCCCTACCCTTTTTGTGCCTCATATTAAATGATACGGGGAAGAGACAGAGAGAGAGAGAGAATATATTATTTAGTTAGATTTTGGAAAAAATGTATAGTCTATTTTCTTCTTCTGTCTTTTTGCTACATTTCATGTCTGCTGACATGCACAATGGTACAAAGCACTACTGCTCCAAGAGTGACCATTGCAAGTCTTTGTAGCAATTTTTATAGTAAGCATGCAAATACAGTCATAGTATTAAAATTCTGAAGTACTTAAGTAGTGAAAGTAAATGCAGGATTCACTGCTTAAAGCAGGCACTCTGCTAGGTTTTGTTGTTTGTTTTGGTGTTTGGTTCCCTCCTGCCCCCCCCCCCAACACACCAGTCTTTCCGTTCTAGTGTAAAGAAATAACCAGAAGTATATACACATCTATTGCTATGTACCCAAAGAAAGGACTGTGGCTTGGAGTAAGTATTGCTTTTCATTAAATGGAACAAAGTTCAAGAAGTGAGAAAACCACTTTAAAAAAAAAGGAAAAAAGCTCAGATTCCATGTCTGAAGTTGAGAAACCTCAAAACGAGCCACGTTTGTTCTTGCTTTTAAGACATGTACAAAATGCCATTTCGAGCCACACAACCTGATGGTTCTAGAAGTCAGAGAAGAAATCTTGAGGGCCCAAGTGAATAATAAAAGGTGCGATGCTGAGAGGCTGGCAATAGGGACTGTCAATGAAAAAACCACCTACAGTGGGAAAAGAGCAGAGAAGCAAAAACTTCACGTTAATTTCAGAGAGAGTGGCTGAAGCTATAGCTCCATTTAAATTTCTCTGCTCTTTCAGCTGCAAGTGGAATTTTCATTGTAAAATGGGCACTTTTAATTCTTTGAAGGTATTGAAACATCTAACACTTCCAAGGTTACCACTTTCTAAACAAAGAACTGACAGCTCATTCATATTTTCAGTAAAGCAGAGAAATGTAAAATATGCAGCAAGGGGGCAACTTTACAATGTGGTTAGTAACTCCCAACAAATGACAAAAAAATAAAAAAAATGACTTCTATAAATCATCTGAAATGACTGCCATCATGTTGGAAAAGAGCATAGCGCCCTCCTTGTTTTTGAAATAAGAACAAGTTATTTGGCTTACGAATGTTCATTGTACAGAATTCGTTCAGAGAGTATTTTGTTTGAAATTTTACAAAGCTGGGGATTAAAAAAAAAACAACCAAAAACCCAAAAAACTACAAACAGTTGCCAATCAGAAAAAAAAAAGGGAGGGGGGGGGGGGGATTGTGTGCAGAGGAAAGATTCCTTTAATGAATATTTGATTAACAAAAATGGGCTCTTATCAGCCATGCTTTTTCTGCTCCGTGATGGCTTCCTTTCATCCATAGGCCAGCAAAGTATATCAGTGATTTATGAGCACCACTCAATTTGACTACATCCCCAAGACCCTGCTCTTCATTTCAACACAACGCATGGATGACAACAGCAGGCCCACCACGACTTGTCAATAGATCTACGTTTTTTATTAAAGTACCACCAACACCAAACAAAGGTGAGAGCTACGGCAGAAGAATATATAAACATGTTCCTAAGCACAAATACTTAGCTTAAGAATAACAGCTGCAGTTAATTCCAAGAAAAGCAGCTTGTTATATAAGCCACCCCTTATTATGCTTTTCTAATATTTCTTTCCCTATAATGGGGGGCGTAGGGGAGGAGGAACTTTACATTGCTTTAAGCACCGTTCTTACACCCTCTTCATATATAAAGCTCCCCCGCCTCAGCAGCAGAGTCTGTTGGAGAACAGAGTGTACAAAGGCCATCTTTGAAAGAGCATGAACTAAAGTAAACCTACTGAAAAGCAACAGGTGAAGAAGTGCAACCAACAGTGCTGCTTATTTTGTGGGGTGATACCTTAATAAAGACTACTCGAATTCCTCATTCGAGCCCATAGCAGTTTTTATGCAGAAGTCTACAACAGATGGAGACAGCATGGAGCTGGGGCCTGTCCTGGAATTTCGGACAGGTGCGCACACTCCATAGCAGAAAGAGGATTCTTTTGGTTTGAGCACCAACTCTTAGCTAAAAGTACTGGCCTATGGCTGAAGTGTGTCACTTTTCACAGCAGCACTCAACAAGAACTGGGACAATTAAATAGCAAGTTTTCATGGGGACCTTGTTGCTGCTTTAGATTCTTATAAATGTAAGGGGGAAAAGGAGAACCCTTTGTTTTAATACAAGATTGACAACTAAAATGCTTTCTGTAGAAATGGTGGATGGAAAAATCAAGGGTGGGCAGACAATCTTAAAAGTGAAGAAGGCCACAAGAACAAATGCAATTTATTTTTTTCTTTTTTTTCTTTTTTTTCCTCTTTTGTAAAAACAGAAAAGAAAGGAAAACAAGCAGCTTTTGAGCTCTAAAGAACCTGTTTGTAACATTATTGTCGTCCTTTCTCTGGGCAATACGGACTTAACTGTATTCCTGTAATTACATAACAAGAGTCCTTCTGTGGGAACTTCCTTTGTTTAATACTTATTTCACAGAATGCAACCTAATACAGAGAGACAGCCTAAGATTAATTCCCTTTGTTTCATTTGCTTTTCAGTATTTTGTGTACAAGTGAAAAGCCTTCTTGGATAATTAAGACTGTGTCTAAAATCACAGTTACAGTATGCTGATATTAAAGACTGTAAGGAAATTCAGGTACTGATGCTTAACTATAAAAAATAAGATAAAACAATATTTTAACCCATATTTTACTAAGTTTATTACACACCATAATATTTACAAAGTTAAATGTTAACTGTAAAGTTTCTATTGTGTGAGTTTGGGGTTTTTTTTATTTTTAATTTTTATTTTTTAAAGAACTATGCCCTGCATTTAATAACCCTACAACAAGTACAGGTCATTAACTGAATCTGTTGTGACTGCATTAGGAAACAGGCAGTACTCTTGTGTTACAACAAAACAGTTTATTTGTGATCAGTGTTTTATATTCTATACATCCTTCACAAATTTAATTTTACATAATCGGATACTTCATTTAAAACGTAAGATTTAAGCTTCTAGTTCTTCCCTATAACAGAAGGCTGGTATAAGTTATTTGAAAATGAGGTAACATTTCACAGAACATTTTTTTCAAGTTTTAGAGAACTAAATTTGCATTTTGTTAAAATCAAAAAGTAGGAAAAAGATGTTTCTTTACAAATGACTTTGCTCAAGTATGTGTTCAAAGAAAACAGGATAAAAAGGCTTTTTTTCTTCTAACATTCTGTACTGTACTGTGTTGTTCAATCAATAGGAATTAGCTTCTGCCATTTGCTAAAAGAATGAGTAGTGGGGAACAGGATAAGTTGGGAATTTCATAACTGGTAACAGAACCATTCTCTTGGGTAAACCTACAGAGAGAAGAAAGGGAGAGGACTCCAAATAAGTTCAGTGATCCAAGAAAGTCAGATAAGAGCTTACAGTAGTGTTCTCATTAACCTTTTCCAGATCAGTCAGTCAGTGTGATTTTAGGGTGCAGAGTCCCATAAACAGTAACACTTCCAACACTTTGCACTATTTCAAACAGGTGGTTAGCTTAAAGTTTGCTTTTATTTTTGTCCTGGTGTTTGGTAAAATTAAAGTAAGCAGTATTCTCAAAAGCAGAGTGTGTATTTGGACTTTCATCATCTTTATGATAATTAATCTCTATTATCTCATTCTATGTTCTGAGTTAATTTCATAGGCCAGTTACAATTGCAGATATTGTAGACAGGCACGGCTGTGCATAAAAGAGAACTCAGAGGGAAACTGTTCATCAGTTTTGATAAGCATCCAGATAGGTCAGCCAAAAATCAAGCACCTACAGTAAATTCTGCATTTCTTCTCCTGTATTGAAGTGGCAAATCTGGAAAGATTAATATCTGCCTGATTTCATGATTATTACAGAGTTCTTGTGGCCTCACAAACTTCTGCACAATTAAATGTTTGGGTTTTTAATCTTTCCTATTTAAATTCTAGTATTTAACCTATGTATCCATTTAGAAATCACAAAGCAGCAACAGCAGGTATTCCAGAGCACCAGATGATCAAAGTGGAGTTTCCCAACATGCAACAGCTTACAAAGGCAAGGAGACATGTTTACCTTACAGCCAAAAAGCATTATCCCAGTACTTCGCATCACAATCATAAGACATTAAAAACAGAAACTCTTTATGTGAAAAATGGGGGCATTCAATCCACAATGCTTTGAAGTCAGTGATATGTCACATATACACAGCTAAGTGATTAAAATCCAGCTCCCAAAATAGGCATCATGAGAAAAAACACAAAACAGAAGGAATGAATGAAAAAAAGCAAGAAAAGCTGCAAGGAAAGTTGGTAACAATTGTGTTCTTCTCTTCAGCAGGGAAAAGATTCCTCTTACGTCACTATGTGTCCCTGCTTGTAAAAATACATACATGCAGATACCACTCATTGTAGTTACAGTCCGTGACTATCGCTTGGAAAGAACCAAAGGGATTTTTTAAAAATCCATTACCATGAAGTACGCCCTAAACTAAAATTGCTTTCATTTTTCCTTGAGAAAACGTGTAGCTATTCCTTGTGTAATACAACACAAAAGACAACACACAGAGCACGCTCAGTGGGACAGCACTGCTGTCAGCTGCTGTTCCATCAAAGCCCTTGGCCAGTCAATAGGGCAGGAGTTCTAAAACTAGAGAGGGTTTGCTTTCATTTTGAAGGGAGAATTCCACAGTGTAAGTGCAGCCCACAGGCCCATTCTCCTTCCCCTTTTCCACTGCAGGAGTATGGAATAGGACCAGCTGGTCTTAGTCAGGCAAAGTGAACATTTTCAGTAAAGCAGCAGCATTCCTCCGCTGCTTATAGCTCACACGTCTAAAAGAAAGTAATGAAATCAATGTTTCAAAATATTTTTAACTTTTATAATGCTATCAGGGGAGTTGGTGTTGCCCAAGCTATACAAATTTGAGAGTATTGCAAGTATTGCAAATGCTACAAAAGCTAGAAAATTAACAAATTGCAAGCTTAGTTTCCCATATGAAAAACTGCAGGCCTTGAAAAGTACTCGACTTGTCATTTGAGTAGCAGGCTTTCAGCCAGTCCCTGTGACAGGAGAGGATAGAGGGACTGGTTCTGGTGGGCTTGATTTTTGTGTGCCAGGACATATCACTGACTCCAAACTGCTTTGCTCCCATTGCCACATAAACCTCATTCAAAGTAACCAAAAGGGCCGGTTAGATGTATGCATTGTTAGTCTAGCATAAAAAAAAGCCAGTGGGTAGGGAGAAGCTGAGTTAAGAAAAACCCTTCTGTCATAGCTCTCTGATTATTAGTTTACTTTACAGTCTTCATGAAACCAGTGCTTTGCCAGCCTAATACCACTATGTTTCTTAGTGAAAAGTATTGTGGCAAATTACCATGTCCTAGCTTCCTTGCAGTCTGATTGCTAACGGTGTAAGCTACACAAAAACCATTCTGCTTGTCCCAAGCAGCAGTGTTTTAGCCTGCGGGGGGGTGGGTGGGGTGGAGTAGGTGTATATGCACATAGCCTTCATAGAGTTGACAGCATTAAGGGAGCTTTGTCCACAAGCCACTTACACTTGGGGACAAACATTTCGCCAATGTTACTGTAATGCCATTTAGATAAATATGGGTCAAAGATGCTGAAATAGGCCCTTCGGTAGTCTTTGAATGGAGCACAGATTGGCTGTAAAAAGTAAGAAAAACTACTTCAATTCAGTTTCAGTATGAAAGGGAACAGGCAATTAGAACAAGCAGTCCTTCCACAAATCAGGCAAAGCATAGGCAAAAAAGCTACTCCAACCAAAAAAGAACCACAAGGTTATGGCATAAAAGTGGTGTTGTCATGGTTTAAGAGCTTTAATCTCTTTGAATTTCTCCTTGGACTGCCACATTTGGACTGCCACAACAGTTTCCGTATCATTTCTAATTTGTTAATTATTGGGCTATACATACCGTAAGCTGGTGCAGCTGTACTATACCCATACGGTGCTCCATAGCCTGCAATATAAACAGATAAGGGATGGGTTTTGTTTCCTACAGTATCTGAAGACAATCGGTGTTTGCACACCAACGCACAGGGAGGGACCCTTTCTGGTACATGAAGCAGGACCACATAAAACACAAACTTACACTAATACATACAAATCTTGCTGAAAACACTAAAATCTTTCTACACAGTGGCTTGAAGAACAAGCTACCCAATGACTTTCTTAAGCCTCAGCATCAAAGAGGCTGTATTTCATTTCCTTAGCATTTTCTTTCAGCTGAAGCCCTCAAGTCTGTACTGTCAGAGCATGGAATTGGCATGATCCAGACATCTCATATTTGCTTATGCTCTTCCTAAAATACAAATACAATCTAATGCAGAGAACAGTCATTTTCATCAACTTCCATTATAAAGAGGGGAATGCTAGATGTGGCAGATACCACATCACCATCAGTAAAGCTTCTGTGAATTCTGCTTTCTCTGCCATTTCTAACAGACAAAGTTTCACAAAGAACATCTGAACACCTAGAGGCAAACAGAGAACAGTATCTTTTTTTCCCAAAGAGCTAAGCATGACTCTGGAGCGAGACAAAAAGCAACAGTGGTAACACCAATCTTGGTTACTCCATCTCAGTAGTTCATGAAGGCTTTACAGGTTTTTTTTCTGGTGGGGTCACTTGCGCCCATCACAAAAAGCAAGAGATTTCTGAGAAGAATAGGGGATGAAGAGAAATAATCTGTGACAGCCAAGGCCAATAAAAGCTTAACAACTACAGCGACTGGGAAATTAAACTTATTTCTGGAGTAATTCCATGCTGGCAAGAAACATGCCCCTGGCAGGTTAAAGTGTCTCATAAATGACTCCTCAGGCAGAAAGACAGTTCCAAAACCAATGTTAACAGCCATTAAAAATGAATTACTGGTTTTTAATATTCATAATTACATGAACATACAGGAACAATGAAGATGACATGCTGTTCACTGTGCCAGGAAGCAAGTCTACCAAACAACAGGGCTATGCTATTAGCATGTGTGAACTGCTGAAGGGTATAATTAGAACTCATGCTGTAATCTGAAGACCTGAACATGAGGAATATAAGTTTTATTTTTTGGAAGCTACTGGATTTGCTTTGACTAAGGAATCTCCAGCATCTCATTCTTACAAATTTGTGGTTCTTATTCCAAGTAAAAACAATGTCTAGATTCCTTTCACATGTCACCTGCAAGCCTCAGACATGTTGTAGAGAGTCACAAAGAATAATATACTTTGAAAAGTAAGGGGAATGAGAAAGTGAACATTTTGTTAAAATTTTCTCGCGTTTACATTTTAACACCTTACACTCTATGTGCCTGTCATTTTAAAAACAAAACAACACAACAAAAAACCCGACACTATTTTGTACCAGCCAGCAGTAGCTGAGCACTTCAGCTCTTCAAGCTGGAACAGTTTTGCTTCTGATGGTTACAAATCTGCCCTAAGGAATCAGCAATGAGATATCCAGACTAGTAACTCACCTGCTCTGTACGGTAAGCACCAAGGATAAACGTGAAGCAGAAGGCCCTCAGATTTCAAAAGATGTTTATGCTAATCAGAACAATGCAGCAGGGATGATGGATTAATGTCAGCCAGAGTATGAACGGAAATTTTTATTTTTGAGTTTTTTTGACCACCACAGAAGCTACTAACAGATGCTGTGCTCACATGTAAAATTCACATAGAAAGCTTCTGGGAGCACAGTGTCTCCCGAACCTGCCAACTTAATCTCCACAAGGGTTTCTTGGGAAAGCCACTCCTGATGCTAAAGGGCACCTGATCCAGGAGGTTCTTAGCTAGGAGGAGAGTTTTGGGAATTGTGCCATGGCAGTGAACTATGAAGAAGACATATAATAAAATAATAAAGCCGGGAAAGCCATTATGCCCATAACTATGTGCTCTGTGCATGCCGAGCTTCAAGTTGTACACTCATAAAGGACAGGTACTGCCGGTTTTTCAGCTCTTTATTTAAAGCCCCATGAATTCTCCCTTCTGCTTCATCTCAGATGATTAAAGCTGAGGAAATCACACGCATAGGTGACTAACACACATGGAAGAGAACACACATGGAAGAGAACACCCCAGCAGACAAAAATTAAACTATTAGCTATTAGTGTCGTGCCTTACCTGGTGTTATATATCCAGTAGCAGCAGCTGCCCCAACAAATGCCCCTCGTGTTAAAGCACCTCGTCCTCTGCCTCGAACAGCCTGGACTGCTGCAGAAACAGCTGTATTGACAACCCCTTTAGTCTGCCCAGAGTAATAAAAAATAGCAGTTCAGAAAGTGAAAGTGTTGCCGGAAATAGAAGGCCATCTGCATTAAGTCATCACCTTTTAAAAATCTCTTTAAACATGCTTGATGCGCCAGTCTTGTTAAAGGTGGAATACAGACTGGAGAAGTACTGTCCTCAAGAATCTCACTGACAGAAACCAAGCGGGTCCCTTGCCAGGTCACTGACTGCAGTGCACAATGAGTCCAGGAGCACGTTCACGTCACACAGACCTGGGAGTCGGCATGGCCAGACTGCGTTATTTACCTCAGTTTTGGTCGCATGGGCATGAACACCGGTGGCTTCTGACCCTTCCTCTGCTGTGCCTCACTGCTGTCTTTCCCACCTCCTTACCAGCTTCCTCTCCTTAATCTACAACATTGTATTTGCTTTTCTCCCACCATTCTGAACCCATATAACTTCAGCAGGGCCAGGATTTCACCCCAAAGACAAATAACCACCTCATGACAACATTGGACTGCTTTAACCTAACTGTACTAGAATGCCACCTTCCTTTTCCCATTGTCACCACCTACAAGTGAAAGAATGGCAAGGAGTTACAGAAGCTGGTGTTGCTCAGTGCATCAGAGCACAGCTTTGCTGTACTAGACGCCCCGACTGCCCCCTGAAAACAATAAAATCATGCAAATCCAGGTATTTCAAAGACAAGTTTGGCAGTTATTGCCATCATTGACCTACTGAAAAAAGAACACATGAACAACAACAACAAAAAAAAGAAAAATCAGAATTTAGGAAGTGCCTGAATCAGAGGTCATTTTCATATCTTAACTGCACGTGGAACTTTGTCCTGTGAGATAGTGTTTTTCTCATTTACTGGACTTTCAGCACAGTAATGGAAACTGAAATACTCCTAGCCAAAGGTCTTAGTGAAATGGAGGGGACTTACTAGTTACAGAACAAAAACAAAAATAAGAGTTGACTGTTATCTTGTGAGTGTATTTTATGATACATTCTGCTCCAGCATGAAATGACACGAAAATCCTAATCCTAATGTATTTGCACAAAAGAGACACAAAGGGTAATCCTCAGGATTTAGTTCAGACTGTAGTCCTCTGGAGAAGAACACTGTTGATTAGTTTCTGCTCTGTTCAATCTTGATCTTAATAAATTTGAGAGATCATTGTGGCTGCTAAGCCTAATGGACAAGACCAAGCTTTTTATTATACAACTCTTCCCCACCAAACAAAATGGCTCATCTGAAAAGTTGAAAAGGTGCAAAAAAGGTGCAAACATCTCAGCTTACTCCAGAATCTAGAGTTAAGGCCTTTACCTGGATACAAATGACTTGTCCCCTAAGTCTATGCACCTTACATGACGAAGGAGCGCACTATGGCTCTGGCCTGAAACACAAGAGAGACTTCCACATCATCACTGGTCGATCCACTGACCTTACTGTATCTCCTCCAGCTAATCGGCACCTCTCTTTCTTTGTGCCTCCTTTTCTACTATAATTCCCACAATACAGTCCCAACTATCAGATTATACTGTTATACTACAGTAATTATTATAGAAGAATAAAAATAGAAACCTTACATATGTGCGTAAAATAAGAGACTGAAATCACTTGCTTCCTGTAGAACTTCCCGTATCATAAAACAACCCAGAGCTGTGATAACAGGGCGGTCCAAAAAGCAAGTAACAATTCTTACCTGAGGAAGAATCTTCTTTTTCTTGTTGTTTGCTGCATTAGGCCCAGAAAACAGTTTTTCAAGTGCTGCTAATGCAGCACTTGCTTTTGCTACTTTCTTGTTTGGGCCTGCACCTCTGAACTTCTGCCCATCTACTTCTACCTGAAAATTGAGACATGAGTTTATGCCTAGTATTTATCCTTGGGAATACCATGCTGCACCCACTCGTCATGATGTGCCATCCATAAAGAACTTCAGCAGTAAAAACAAAAATCCTCGGTGTCTTATGTGACAAATTTCTATTGCTTCTAGATTATGAAGCTGATAAAGAATACCTAAGTGATCCTGTGAACCATTATATCGCAGATATTAGGAATCTGGAAACTACGAGTGCAATTCAAAGAGGACCAGTATATCTATTTGATACTGAATTTGGCCAGTATGCTTGAGCTTCTCAACGCCTGAATGATACCACTAAGAAACAGGGGTTTTAGGAATCTTTTGAGGCTCCCCTCATCTTTATCAATGCCTTACATACCAGCATCTTTGCCTGCACTATACATACACTGTTTAACTGGGATGCTACCTCATACCACTTTAGAGCCCAGTGCTACTTCAGAGATAGCACAAGTAGATGAAGAAATCAAATGAGTTTACCCTCTGCTACAGTCATTCCAAATACCCCTGGGTAAGCTGGCAACAGGAGATTCAAGTCAGGTCACTGACATGGGGTTACCAAGTATGTTTGCAAAATTTGCAAGTCAGGTATTTTTGTCAAGCTGTGGATCTTCTACTTCCCTCCTCCTCCTCATGTCAAGACATGATGTAGTTTGGGGCTCTCAAAATCCAGTTTTAATTGTCATTGTATTTTCCTAAAGCATAAAAGACATTCCTTTCCCCAGTCTAATCATCACAGCAGCGATAAGAGATACAAAAACATGAAAACATCACCACCACAGATGTGCATTGCAGAAAGCAAAATACAAAAAATCTGAACTGTAGCAGCAAGCAACTCCAAAGACTGAAGCACTGTTAATAAAACCTACTAACTCTGTAACTCTGCTTCACTCACCTCCATCACAAAGCGCTTGTCATGGCTTCCACCTGTCTCAGAGATGAGCTCATACTTCAGACCTCTTCTTTTTTCATTGAGCTCCATCACCGGGTTTTTGCCACTTGCTGTGAGTATAGGACCTTGAGTTCTTACCTAGAGAGACATTTATGGTGTTGCTTTAGAGCCTTTATCTCTTCAGAAGGCAGGCAAACATCTACAGCATTGTGGCTTACAGTGCCACATGGCCAGCCACTTAGAGAATGTCAGCATTATCACTGTGTCAAGCCTCTGCAATAGCTTGTTCTTCCCAACATGCAGGCCTCGGCAGGCTTCCCAGGAACAGACCTGTATCAAAGATAACACTGCCTCGGCTTCAGCATAACATGCTATGCTAGAACAGCAGATGGAAAGTCTCTCCTCCAAAGAATGGCAGGAGGACAAACAATACTGTAAAAGAAGTCACACCCTCTTTATTTCTGTTGGTGAGAGCTACTGTCCTCATGGCCTGGTCTGGTGACTACACAAACTCAACGTTACACCAGCTGCACTTGGAATTTCAACCCTGAGAGTATCCAAAGCTGAAGCTGAGGCCACGGTGTCAAGTTCCTTGAAATCGAAGGCTTTATCACTGAGAGATTAGCCTTCCCAACCTTGCACACATCTCTGCTGCTCGATCTAATTACGTCCTGGCACTACTGAGCTCTGACTGAAGAAGTCTCATATCCTGGGTCACATGTTTCAGCAGAAATATCTGTAAGTGTTTGGAAAGCAAGGAAGTTAAAGCTGAGATCTCAGTGCACCAGCATATCAGCCTCCATTAGAGTGCACTCAGCTACAGATACAAATGACTACTCACTAATGAAGAAAAAGATATTAAGGGATCAAAACAATGTTTTCCAAAGCAACTTCTTATTTTGGATAAAGATCAGGAGTCCTAGTACCAGGACCTGCCCTTTGAAAGTAAAGTGTCTCAAAAGTGTAAACATGGAAACCCAAAGTCATGCAGCTTGGGAAATATCTTGGTCATCTTAAAATATTACCCACTTTTGTGATAAAATATCGATTTTAAAGGAAAATTAACAGGTCAGTTTGTTGAGTATAAAATACCCCCGCAATTGTCACAATTTCTGTTTTGTAATAGTCATAATAGAACATAGTGATTTTTGCAAACTTTGTTCTTGGGACTAAATTTTCGGAGCATTACTAGAGCCCAAAGGCACCAAACAAGATGGAGCTGTCCCAGTCGTGAGACCATACATTAGCTAACTAGAAGAGACAACACCTGTCTCAAAGAGTTTATGGTCTTATGAGGACAAGATGGCTACCCCAGCTTAAACTTGAGGAAAGGAGGCACAAAGATCAGTCATTTGTCCGCAGTGACACAAAGCCTATGGCAGATCTGAGACTGGAAACACGCTCTCAATTCCTCACCCACCACCCTAACTAAAATGCCATCCTCTTCTGGGAGAAGAGAAAAAAAAACCCTGAAAAACAAAAAAACTCCACACCTCTCCATCACTTGACCTTTTTAATGCAGTACTCACCTCTAGGGTAGCAGAGGTGTCAGCTGTGGAATTTCCAGTATTATTGCTTGAGATTGAAGACATTGTTTCATTTTTACCTTCAGTATCTGATTTTTCATCAGAACTCGTACACTCCACATCTGCATCAAAACCAGTTGGATACCCCATCGCTTGTAAAACCTACAACAAAGCCACATGAAATGAACTGTAAAATAGGTAGCAGTACAGAAACAAATACAAAGCTGATCACAACACAAAAGAATGTCCATCATACACTTAATAAAGGCAGATTGCTTAGAAATATGTTTTCTCCTGTGTTGAAATGGAGAAAAACACAATAGCAATGGGGAAAATAGTTCCAGGTTTCCAAAAGTGGAATCAACACAAACAGAATTTTAGTCTCAAAGATAGCAATTACTCATAAGCACCATCCATCATCTCCAGAATTCCTTGTAAAATAATAGATTCAAATTCAGAAGTGCATCCACTGCATGATACTGCTTAACAGTATAAGGAGATTGTTTTGCACACCATTTTCCCCCTCTCTGTGTATACGGACAGATCAAAAGATTGACTGTAGGGCAAACAAGACAAAGTGTCTTATGAGAATTAACACATTGTACTTCTACAAGATGGTACTTCTGGAGTTTCCTAGGAAACGGCAGGTGACAGCCGGTAGGTACCCAAGTAGTACACAAAACATGTCCCTGAAGCTAGAGGACTGATATTGCCTCCCTTGCTTGCATCTTTCAGGAACACCAGAGGGTAAATGCTTCCAAAGCAGGTGTACAGGGAGCAAATTCCTGAACCGAGATGTGAGGTGAAGGAATGCCCGGCTAGCAGAGTAACAAGCTGTCTGCCTGCAGTAGCCTACCTCTTAGTGAGCCACGTCACAACCTCCAAGCTTCCTCCATGCTGCTTACAACCAGCAGCTGTATAGCAAATGAAATTTTACCAATTAAGATACTATTCATCAGGTCCTTCAAAAACATCCTCCACTAGCAAGGCCAGCCTCTCGTTTAACCAGCTACCTAACCTAGTTGTACGGGGGTACCAGACACAGGCCAAAAAGAATCTGAAAAGAACCTGAAGGTCCGCTGAAAATTTAGTCCCAAGAATGAAGTTTGCAAAAATCACTATGTTCCAACACTGAATTGAGAACTACATGGGTAACTCCAGGCTTAGCTCCCATACAATCGTGGTACATTTGGCTGCATTTTCAAGACTTCTAAATTTGAAAAAGGTCAGATCTAGAAACTGAAATGGTCACATTATTCCCTCTTAAAAGTGTGGGAAAGCAGGGCCTGGATCTGCTAGGAAAAAAAAGAAAGGAAAAAAAAAAAAGCTAGTCTCTACCACACCACCCATTTCCTCTTGGCTTGAATCATGGATGTTTTGAAGTGTAGCCCAGGAGTTGTATATGTGTAAATTTAGAGAAAGCAGAGCTGAGTAGGCACCAGCACAGATCTGGCTGACACAGAGAGGTTCAAGGGCAGAGAAGTCGCAGCTTTTCAGGACAAGTTTTGTTTTTGTTTTTTTTTTAAAAACAACTGCAAGGAGGGAGGCAAAATAAAAGAACGAGGCAGAAGGTCTGGAAGGACACACATGCAGAGAGGTACTTTCCCTGGAGGAACAACACATTCCCTCAGATACTTCTGGACACTTTGAACTTGAAAGCACATGGGACAATGGGATTTTCAAAACTGAAATCAAAGGAAAGCAAGAAGTTGCCAGATGAAGCTTCTAAAAAGGAAATTCTTGTTCAAAACAAAATGAAGCACAGAATGACAGATGGGCTTGTTCCTATCCTAAGTGCAGTTCTATTAAAAGAGGTTCTCTTTCACATGAATTGTCCGTAGAGAAACTTTCGTTTCTTCCCAGAAACCCAGCAGGCTCGGTCTGCTTTAACAGTCTGAACTGTCCTCATGCAATACGACAAGGATGTTCATGCTGGGCATTCCAGTCTATCACTGCTTTACAGACCTAAGCTCTGTCATGTAGAGCACCTACAAGAAGCAACAGTAGGTTGACTAGTACCTGAATGATACTAGTCTCTTACTGAAAAATTGACTGGAGACCAATCATTTATGTACATTGTTTATCCCAGTGCACAAAGGTACTCTTCAGACACTGAAGACAGGAAACAACTCCATGTTTCCACGAGCTCACAACCCAGGAATGGACACAGAGAAGGAAGGGGAGAAAGAGGGAGCCACCAACATGCTGTTTTCAAACCAACAGGAGGAAGGAGCAGAACAGAACAAAACTGAACCCCTCCAGTCCAGAACTTAAACACCACATTCAATCCATTGTCACATGAGCTGACCTGCAGAGCCCTGGGAAGTTCTCCCTCCCCTCTGCTAATATAAAACCAGTGATGCTCTTTGAACCATGCCCAGCTGTGTTTAGAGTACATAGGTAGTAGCTCAGCTTCATCCAAATTTTTTTAATTTTGAGGTTGCATATTACTAGTTCTAACCATATTTCATACTCTATGTTCCAAGATGTGGGGTTAGCAGATTACTTCAGGCTGCCTTACCTTCACTGCCACATGGAGCTTGGCTGTTTTCTTAGAAGGTCCTGATGCTTCATATGTCGTACCATCAACATCTACAGACATTGTGAAGACTGGGGCATGGACTGGACCAGACTGTGACAGCAGCTTATACTGAAGCCCTGGCCTGATTTGGTTCAGCCTCATCAGAGCATTCATGAGATCTATTGCTTTACTATCTAGTACTAGTACAAGATAGTAGAAAGGGGGGTGGGGGTGGGGGAAGGGAAAATGAACAAAACAAGATGAACAGAAAAATGAAACAGTTTGCATTTCAGTGCCTTCTGTCTGTATAAAGGAGCAGAACAAGCCCTCAGCCTCTCAGAGGTTGAGGCTAGCCATAACACTGTTAAGCCATTAATAAGCCATTCTACTTTTGGGTAACAACTATAATTACCCATTTTTCAATATTGTTAACACAATTCTTTTGCAGCTAGCTATATTCTTCCTGGCTACTATAAAAGGAGTAACAAGTTTTATAGGTAGTGAGGAACCAGATCTAGAACTGGCACCAAAGTAGCACAATGAAAATAGCCCCCAGAACCGACTGGATCCCAGCAATGCTGAGAGACTTCTAGTCTGTGCATATATGCAATGTCAATGTTTTGTAGATTAAGCATTTTATTTTTCTTGTGGGAGGTCTTGAGAGACCAACAACTAGCTCAAGAAGGGGAGGAAAGCAAAAAGGCAAATCTTCACACAGCAAAGTCACTGCAGTATTTTTTGGGGAAAAAAACCCAAACCAAACCAAGCAAAACACAGTACAGGGACATCATCAGTAAAATACCTCTGCTGCTTGGGCAACTTAAATTTTACTGTAACTTGATGGGTTTGACATTCTGAATGTGGGGTGATAGAGACAACATTTTTTGTTCCAAAGACTTTTTCACATGTTATTCCACACCAACACAGAGAAGCTCTTAAACCAGCTCCCACCGTGCAATAGATCTTTGAAAACAGAACGGAGAAGTATTGCACTTACTTTTCCTCAGATTACGCTTCATCTTTTTATTTGGATCTTTATCATCCCCGACACTATCTTCAAATGGTCTCTTAAGAGCAGATGAGCCTGTACCTAGGGTATAAATTTCCTTGTAATATGGATATGCTATTAGAAAAACAAAATTCCACAGCAGGAGTCTGATTAGTCTCGTACTGTTCCCTACATGTTTATAATGAAAAGAACTCAACCATCAGTCCGAGCTTTCTTATTGCTACATGTAAGCCAATATTAGCTTATTACTCACTGTACCATGCCATGCAAGATGTCTGTTTCCAGTATCATGTGTGATATAAGTAGTGTAATTCTGCAGTGTTGCTTTTTACAGTTAGTCTAAGGCAAGAACTCTAATAGTATTGTTTTTACAAAAAATATACATGGAAGTTTATTTTTATTATACATATATTGTTTTCTAGGAAGAATTCTTGAGTAATTCTTATTATGGACACTCGTACATGCTTTTTGACCAGTCTACAGTCTCTCCTTCCCCAGCATAAGAATCATAAACACTACTTTTACTCTTCAGACCCCAAAGGACTTTGTGCTTAAAGAAAATCATCGGCTATATTCTAGCTGTACTGCTGCTCCTCTGTTGGTACTTCTAGAGAACAGAACTTCCAGATTTTCTCCTAACAATGAAATAATAATTAAAAAAACCCAAAACAAAACAAAAACCAAACCACACATTTAACACAAAGAAAAGCCTTTACTTTGCATTCACAGCATATAATTCAGGAATTTCACCCATTCTAAATTAACCCCTAGTTTACTGCCCAATTAGTGATTTTTGGAGCAAACAATACCTACCTTCTTTGTCAGTTACTGACCAGGAATATTTCTGAAATGACTTATTTGATGGCAGGGGATCCATTTCCAAAACCTTATAGATCTGACCAAACGCTGATAATCTGAGGGCATGCTATAAGGTGACAGTAGAAACGTAAGTTACATCACAGCACTACTTTACCTTGGTTATTTAAGTTTCTAAATAAGTTTGTAGACACTGAACCACTTCTTCTATGAGAAGAAAGCTTCTACAGCTATATTCTATGATAGCTATAGAAAATGCTAATGTCTAAAAATTTAAAACTCATTAATTTTTGTAACACAAAGTGCAGGGCACATTGACAGAGAGCCTACTCAAGGGCTCTGTGCCATAAGCACTTGAGGTGGGATGCAAGTGGTGCACAGACATTAGACTGCCTTTTGTAAGGATTAGATTTCATACACATTTAACTCTTGCATGCATGAACTATCATTTAATCTTTCCAGTGTAGCGCACCGGAAGAGCTGTCAGGACTGCCATTAAAATAAGCTATTCCTGGCAGAGAGTAAATTGTATTAATGGACTGAAATCTTTGCTGTTACAGTATCTAGCTCCTCAGATGTACGAGTTTTCTACCTGAGCACTGTGCGTAATGGCTTCTTTTTGCTGAACTGTCATATAAGACAAAGCATCTGTTGGCTCCCGTTCACAGGGGTCATGCAGACCAGGGCCTCCTAGGAGGAAAAGAGGCAAAGCAGATTATTGAGAGTAAATGAGAAGCAATATGAAAATGGATATTGCAACAGCTAGTCTCAGTCTTCAGCAGAGTGGGAAGTGCACCTTTTCCAGTAAGGGATTCAAACATCGTACAAAGCAAGCTAACCCCAAGATTTTACTCCCTTGCAGCAATGGCCACAGAACTTACCAGGGTTAACACTGCGCATGTGTAACAGCGTGAACTAAAAGCAGCAAGTTTAAAAGGAAACCCAAATAATTTGGATAGCTATGTAGATTTCGATGAATCTATGGAAAACAGATGGTCCTTAAGTCTATTCATTTGTTTGCCACCTCTTAATGAGATAGCGGTTAATTTATGAACAAACCTAACGTTCCCCATTAACTTCTACTGCAGTGGAAGTACTCAAACAGTTACAGCCATGCAACTTCCTTTTTTTTTTTTTCCTTTTCATTTCAAACAAGAAACCATTAATTTAGCTCCACTGCCTGTTAGGAGTTCAAGGCAGGCATTTTTCATCTAATTGTACAGCAACAGCAAAATGTTAAGGCTGTCTGATCAACCTTTTGTGTTCCTGAAGTTAATTTGGCCCCTTACCGGGAAGCAGAATTCCAGATGCCAAACACTCCATCACTCGTCGCAATGCTTCCCCAGCGCCCAAAGGTCTATTACAAGTACCTATAGATTTTTCACATATAAGCTCGAGTGGCTAGAAGACATTAAATTACGATTAGTATGGACACAAGGGTAACTGTAACTGCAGTTAAATATGGAGGGGTAGAGGGTAAGAATATTCACATCAGCTTACTTCATTTTTAATCCACTACAGGTCTAACTGACAGAGACATCCATCCCAGAGGACAGTTCACGGCACATGTATTTGTTCCCTGCTCTGAGTCACCTCTTGAGGAAACCAACTGCTCTCCATTAACTGCCCAGGAAGTCTAAAAGGAGGAGCCTTCTAAAGCCAAGTCACGTGAGTATTCTGTTCTTCTCTAAGGGTTATCAGTTCAACGTGAGAGAAAGCACTGCCTCCACTGACCTACAAAGTGTTCCTCTCTGGATATGCAGAGCATTTGGCCCTCCCCAAACCTGCTAACGTGAAACGGTATCCTCTGGTAGGAGCAGCACCATCACGGTAGTGGAATATTTTTGAAAAGCTAAACTTGGAGGCAACAAGTGGGATTCTATTGCAAATCCTTGAGGATGTGCCAGGCCCAAAACATTACGTCTCTTTCCATGGTATCTGTACATCTTACAGACTGAACAAATACTTGTGTTCTCTTTCCTTCCTACAAGCACTTTTCTACACAGGTAACAGTTAGTGGGGAGTAGAAGGAAGGGGGGTTTAAGGAGGAGTTTCATACAATGCATCATTTTCTCCAATGAAGACACTGCTACAGTTCTCAGGAGATCTGAGACCTGACCTTGTGGCCTTCAACTCTTTCTGTACTTACCCATCCTTTCAGTGGTGCCCATGTGGGGACTCGGTTGCACAAATCCCGCAGAATACGAAGGACAATTACACATGATTTTAGTCCATTTGCCCTGGCCTAAAACAAACAAAATGATTCCAATACACCTGCAAAAACCTGGCCTTCAATTTTGCTTTTCTTTTTAAATGCACAGAGTCCTGGGATAGATTTTTTAATTATTATTACTTAATATTTAATCAGCTTCATGCAAAATAAAAACAGTTATATAAAAGTAAAATATTTCAATTTAGAGTCACATATAAAAAAGGAAGCAAAATGTCAAGATTGCTTTTGTAGCCTCATGACAACTCTAGACCAGTTGGCTGTCTACCTGTCACGTTTGCCCTTGCACAGTACAGCACTGAATTCGGAATTCTACACCTTTGCTCTATTAGGGACTAGTCAGAAATTAAAGAGGCATTAAAGTTAAAACTGTCTCAAATTAAACCTCGTAAGGCTACAATAACAACAAGGTAAGAACAAATAGCCAACCTGAAACCATTTGGCGTGCCGCAGAGACGCCAAGGCCTCCAGGCATTTCTGCCTGTCCAATAAGTCCGGAGGATCTTTCATCGCAACATTATCTACTGGTAAAAATGGGATAAAAAGAGACAGATACAATTTGACCAAGGGGTTTCTGTCACAATACAAAAAGAGCGGCAGCATCTCAATGAGATAATAAGACTCCCAGAATTTAAGTGCACTGTGTTATTTAATTTAAACAAGCCATTAAAGGTAGTAAATGTGCACGTGTGCAACAGAAGCAAAGGCATTCACTCCTTGTAAAATAACAGTAATAATAAAGATGGCCACTGCTACAGATCTGGGATCTGGCCACTGCTACAGACAAGCTGTGATCTTATTAAAAATGTAGAACACATTTCAGGGCAGAAAATAGCTACATAGCACTTTTTTTTTTGTTGTTGGGTTGTATTGGGCTTTTTTTTTTCCCCCCTCTTCTTTCCCTTCTTTGTGACTTTTATTCCACAAAAGTGGCACAGAATTTCAAAGAGACAAGCTTCTTTTGACATGAGGAAGATATTCTTGGAGAGGGAATAAAAAAAAATTGTAATAGGTAGAAAGTGAAGTTACATCCATGCAATTGTTGAGAATTCCTAAGAAAAACATTGACTATAGTTGAAATATTATTGCATGAACAGTACTAGCCAATATAATTCAGTGAAAGAAATATACAAGAAATGCTAGTAAGAAATTCTACGGTTTGATTAGTCTTTCATATGACCAGAACACATGAAAGAAGTAAGTTTGGTAACTTCCAGATTATTAACGGATTAGAGAGGTAGTCCCCTCTTGTAAAAATCTTCTCTTCCCAACAGCAACTGAAATCAGAGGAAATTCAAAGAATGAATGATTTCAGAGACAAGACACTGACATTTTCTGTGCAGGTTTACACTTTTTTTTTCCTTCCCCTTTCTCTTTTTTATCCAGCATGCAACAAACTGCTTTTAGCAGTCAAATCCAATTCTATATTGAGGGACATTATGCATCAGTGCTTTTTTCCCTAATTTTTTTTATCCTAAGGAGTTATTTGCATCCAGATTCTCTGGAAACTCTATACAAATGACAGATTTTGCGTATCTGTGAAATCAGGTTAAGATGATTTTAGTTTTTAGCTGACATGAGAAGAACATATTGGAAGAACTAAATGAATCCATGGCTCAACTAAAACCTTGACTATGTTATTTTCCTATGAATACACAATTATTCTTTATTTCAAAATAAATAATTTGGAAACATAGTCTTTTCATTATTCATAATGGTCAATTCTTCAGGTCTTGAGAGACCTATGCAGGTCTGAATGAAATACAATATCCATTCCAAATTGAAGACTATGCTAGATAAGCAAAATCCAGCAGGACATCTAAAATATGAGGACAAGTTAGGAGAAAAAAGTACCATCAGTTTGTAGTACAATTTATTAGTAACAAAGTACATTTTCGTAGGTTACTTTGGATAGTACTGGATGCATGTGCAATTGCATCTTTAATGTTAAAATTGCTTCACCTCCTATGCCATTCAACAGGAAGGTTACTCTGGTAAAAGCACATTGTTATGATGGATAAAAGAGCCCAAAGCCAAAAAAAACCCACCCCACCCCAGTGTAAAACTGAACAGAACCAGGTATCTTGTCTGACAGTTCATAGCTGCAGTTCACACCTGCTGGCTCTGCTGCCAGCAGAAGACTTAAGTGCTATAAGCTTATTTTCAAACCCCAATGAACTTCACAGCAGATATTTGCATTGTTTCTTATTGCCCTCATCAACAGTATTAGGATTAATCACTCCTCTCGCCTGTTTTCCAAATAAAAGCTGCAAAGTCTCACAGCACTGGATTTCTATGAGCACAAAAGGTCACTTTGGAACACAAGATTTGCTTCTAAATTTCCTTTGCAGTTTCATTATTTTCAGGAGTAATGTTTTGTGGCACACAATTACTAAATGTACATCTATGTAATTCTGTAAGAAAACTTCATTGTGGACAATATAAACATCTGCTTAAAGCTCATGTACTGTATAAAACAACTACTGTCAATGAATGATCAAAATCTTATTTTAAAACGTTAGAAATGGCAAAGGTGACTGATTGCAAAATCATTAATTTTTTGCAATGAACTGGATCTTTAATTGCCTAGGGACTTTTACTTAGTATTGTACAAGGCTTTCCTAAAGTGTGTTGCAGCTATTGACAAAGTAAATTAATTTTTCCTTTTACAAAACATAAACAGAATGTGTCATCTGTCATTCAGGTGAATGAAAAACCTTGTAAGATTTAATTTGTTTCAACAAGTTAGAATCATACTTTTTCCTACAGGATTAAGGCTATTTCCAAAGGTCTAAATTACAAATATCTTGGAGGATTTTGCCAATCGCAAATTCAGTGCTAGTGTCCCGAACACCTTTCACAGATGTTGCAGTCAGCCAACTTTTGGGTGCAAGATTCTATTAAACAGAAAGATGAAGAGAACAGGCAGTGAAGAGGGCGAGCGGCTTGCAGTAGGCTCCCTTTCGACACCCTCAGGAGAATGGCATGTTTCTTCATGCTCTGCCAGTCAGGAAAGTGAGACCCAATCAAAATTTTCAAATGTGATTGCAAAGCTTTACTTTTTTTCTTGTGGTTTTAACAACGGCAATGATACAAGGAGTTTAATAAACAGTTAATAGTAAAGCCCTGACACCAGCTCCCACTATGCAACACAGAACCAATCCTTCAGTAATTCTCTCTCCACTTGCTGTATGTTTTCTCTTCACACAGTAGCTGCCAACTTCATTCATTAGCAGCCAGCCATACAAGGAGCATTGTCTTGTCCATACAGGCAAGGTAAATCTGTGGCTTGTGGCCCCTTCAAAGGCACCGGGCACCTTTGGAGCATCACTGGCTGCGCCTGCCCAGCAAAGGGGGCAGCAGAGGCAGACCGTTTAGGCAGTAGTTGCTCAAGGAGCAAGGTTGATTTCAGCCCCACTTTGGTAAATGAACTTGTTTATCATTACATAAGCTTGTAACAACGCTCAGTAACAACAACTGATTTGCAAGCTACAAGGTTCTGGTCTGGAAAGCCCAATTTATATTTCATGCTATGACTAAAAATTCGGTTTCTTAAGAAGTTTAAAATTTAAACTGATGCAAAATGCAGGAATTTTAGATGCTTGACTTCTCAACTCGACATGAGAAAGCAGAGCTTTATGGAGAGCCACTTGTGAGAAACATTGAAATGCGCACACACACTGGTCCACTATTTGTTTTTGCTAACAAGCAGCAAAAACAAATAGGACAAACACCACATCTTAAACATGAACACTTTTCCAAAGAGGTGGGGACTGAAGAGAAATCCAGGAATGTTTTTCAGTACATTCTGACATCAGGGCATGAAGGCACACACAGCATTCCTACAGAACAAATGGGAGCACTGATAACGAGGTCCATTGCGCCTAACCTTGCCGGTTTGGTTAGAGGACAGATTAGTGCTAATCACACCGAACGCTGAAACCTTGGTCAGTTTCGCGCGGCCGCTGCTCCCTGGGAGCGGCTCCGGGGCCAGAGGCTCCCGGGCAAACCAGCGGCAGCACCTGGAACCCAATGGCCTATCTTACATGTAAGATGAAAGGCAAGTTGACAAGCATTTTGAGCTCCTTCATTCAAAAGGATGTATGGAATAAACTCAAAACAGTTTTTAAAACTGCACAGAAAGTATATTTACATTTGGTTGGCATTATTCAGGCGTATTGAAATAATGGGGCAGTACTCTCTTTGGGAATGAAGGTATTTTCACCCGACAGTTTCTCTGAGTATTTTCCCTTGATACTGGATATGAAACTTTTTTGGTCTGAATCTAAGTGAAAGTGACCTAAATATGATTGGAAGTATTATGGAAAAAAGTATCCCTCCCGCCTTTCAATTTACTTAGCGACATCTGCATAAAGTTTCACATACCTTTGAAAAGGAATATGATAAATGTCTCTGTTCACTTGTGATGAATCAATGTCAAAGAACCTGGGCTTTAAAACAAGATCCATTACCCTATTAACTATCCTCATCGGCTGTTCAGAAATGATAGCATAACACCACTCTAAGAGAGGTAGTAAAACCATTTTAAATTTAAAAAAAATTAGTACAGAATTTTGAAAATTTTAAGATACTGAAAACAAAATAGAACACCTACAGTTTAAATATAGGAAAGCATGAATATTCAAATCCTCATTCAGTTTGAGATGAACTCAGGAGTCCCCAGAGTTTACTGCCACAATGGCATCACTTTTTGCAAGAAAATACTTGGACGGAAGCCTTTGTGCAAAAGGCTGTGTATCCCCTTGTGAGAATCTTACAAATCCTTTACCATTAAAATTTGTTCTGCACTTTGTGCTCTTTCTCACAAACATGTATCAGCTGCAACGACTACAGGGCTGATCTCAGCATCTTATGGGAAGTTGAAGTTCAACAACTGAAGTAATACGCAATTTATTTTTAATGGTCTTGCAAAAGAGCATGGTTACTAATTTGAGAATAAACAGACACTGCAATTAGGAAATCTTTGCCATTCATCTGTTTTGTAAGATTTTTCTGCATCCAACTGCTGCCAAAGTATTACGTTTCATTTGAAAAGGGATCCTTCCTGCCATTGCCTCAAACAAAAATGAAGAGAAACTGACCAACGTTTCTCATTGTGTCGGTATTTCAGGTGGGAGAAGGGAGGAAGCAAAGGACTTGTGGCAAGTCTAGAAATGGGAAAAGAGCGACAGGGAGTTCCCTAGCCCACATGGGCCCAGCTGCCTCAGTTGTCATGACAGAGAGTGGCCAGTTGGTCAAAGGTCTGACATCATCCAGTGGCAAAGTTTCTAGGGATAGGTTTGGGAAGCGGAAGCAGATATTACTGACAAGATTTTTAAAATAAAACAAAGTATGGCTACATTTGCTCTTCTCTATCTCTCTTGTTTTCTTTCCAACTTCATTGATACTACCAGTCAACATTCCTTTAACAAGGGGCATAAACTATAATGGACATCGCGCAGTTAGGGAGAAGGAACAGAAACAAACTAAGTTACAGTTTTCTATATCTATTTTGCTCTAAGGACATGAGGTACAATGTTCAATTCAGAAGCAAGTGCTGTATTGTAGCACTGTAACTTCAACTGTATCCCAGTTAGAAAATTCTTAAAGCTAGAAACATACACATATGTATCATCAATTAATAAAAATTGAGGGCCAGGACGACATACCTGCGAGCTTTGCAGGAGAGGTTTTTTTAATGTAAGAAGAGGAACAATTTTATGAGGTTTTCAAGATACTACGAACCAATCCCACTTGACTGACTTAATTTGAAAACAAGACTGTGCAGCGCTGGGGAGCTCAAGAATTAACTAGCAAGTCTGAAAGAAAGGAGAACTAAGGTCTCATAGTATGTCAAAGTTAACACTGTAGCAATATTGCTTGCAAATGAAAATTTTAATGTAAATAAGCACAGTTAAGTGACTTGTCTTTTTAAGGCACAAATAATGTAACCTATTGTGGCAACAGCCAGTCTAGTTAGTACATGATGCACAATTAAAAACCTACTTCCCAATTAACCCTGTGCTGCACAGTCAGAGCATTTAGATAGAACAGTCTTAAAAACAAGTTAAAACGCTCTGTGTACCTCCTTCCTTCTTCTCTGCTTCATCTCGAATGAGAGGGGATGTAAGTATCACCTTCAAAGTCAGCTTGGGCTCCTTTGTGTTACGAATAAGAATAGCTGCCTCATTTACATGCTCCTCCACGAGATACTTCTCTTCTGTAAGTTTCTGAAAGTTACCAAGAAAGATTTCAAGAATCTCCTAATCAACTGAAAAACTACAGAATCTCTGTATGTGCATATGCCTCTTAAATAATGAGAGGCCTACAAGACATTGCAATAATAAATAAGGCCTTACCTCCCTCATTAAAAACAAACAAAACCCCCAGTAACATGCGTAAGAAAAAAGGTCTGCAGCAAATTTAATGAGAATACTAAGTAGCCCCACTATATTATCACTTTTTTTTTTTTTTTTTTAAATGAAGACAGAAGTGTGCGAAATACCACCAGCAACTTTTGTTCTTAGTGAGTACACACTTCTCCGGTAATGCTGCCTCTAAATGTAAAAGCTCTCATATGCAGTATGACCAACACAGCCATAACTGTCAGTGCAAACGGATGACAGATTCCAGTGCAGGAGCCGCACCAGCTTGCCTAGTCCATGTACCTGCCATGAAGTATGACCAAATATACCTTGGCCATCTCTTACCAACCCAAAGATATTCTTCAGATGCCCCAGCAACAGATTTCACCACCTCTCCAAAGAGTCTGTTCTGATTCTTAGACACACATATAATTTAGACAACCTATTTTGCAACAAAATTGCCCCTTGCTACAGTTCCAATTACTTCTCATCCTACCTTTGGTAGCCATGTGAGATACTGAATCACTGTCCCTTTACAAATAACCGTTAATGTATTAGAACTTACACCTGCATTTGGTCTTGACTTTTTCAAAACCAGGTAATTTTAATTACGCGGTTTTCTAGGTGCTCATTCTCACTCATCTGATTTTCTCCAACTTGTCTGTCCATCTGTCTCACTCCCTTGCCACACAGCACTGGAAACTGGACACAAGATCCCACTGTCACCCACTTCATTTATTAGTACCAGCCGTGGGAGAGATCCCTGACAATGCCTGGAAAATGCCTGGAAAACCTGACCTTCCTCTCTTGACAGCACCCCAATGAATCGAGTGTTTTTTAAATTGTTTTCACTAAACTTTTTATTTCTTGCTTGGATTTCTTTTGCAGATAACGCTACAAACTGCTTTACAATTTGTTCCATTAACATGCATTGTGTCAGAGGTATCTCAGGTGATCTGTATCTGCAGGACTTTCAGTAGTCCTTTGGGACCTCTCTCAACCTCCAGAAGTGCAAAGATAACCACAGGTAGTTCAGAGTCCTAAAGCTATTCCTTGTGTATGTGTTTCAGCAAGACCATAGGGTTAGAACATAGCTAACGTATTCTAACTTCCTTCCTTGTTGCAATCTGCACTCCTCCAGCTCCTTTACTGTTGGGATGAAAGTGTTAAAGCATCTGCTCACTACTAGGCTTCAAAGAAGCACAGCAGAAGCTGTTAACATCTCTGTACCTCATTTGCTCTTTTTGACCACTAATGGGCCCACGCCTTCCTTCTCCCTCCTGTATCTGATGCGTCTGCAGAACCCCTCATTGTCTTTTAATGCCCGTGACAGAGTTGTAGCTTGTTTCATGAGTCAGATTCCTCTTACCTCATGTTTTCCCGTAATCCTTTCCCCTCACAGTGCTTCCCCATAGGATCTTACCTACTTGTCCCTTGAATTTATTGCAGTCTTCACATCTTTTAAGAACGTCTGTTCTGCCGTTCTCACTTTTTTTGAAGCATATGCTAACTTTTCTTATCACTTTCAACCCTTCTCATCTCACGCCTCGCTACAAACAAGTAAAATTTACTCTTTACTACTCGACACATCCCTATCATTTTCAAACAAGTAAAATTTACTCTTTACTACTCATAGTTCCTTAGCATTTTCAGCTATGGATAGGGCCACATCTGCAGGCACATTATCTCATTAAAACAAGCCCTTTATGTGAACAAATGAACAGTGAGAACAAACAGCTGTCAAGAATGGTAAAACACATACTGTCTATGCGGAAAGAAACACAAGGCAGAAAAGCAGATCAGGAGAAGAGCAGATCAAGTTTGGACACAGTGTGGAGAGAGGCACTTGCAGTGCAATACTTCAGGGCACAGTTTCTCAGCAACAGTGCATGTCAGTCTGGAAGCTGGATTGATTATTCAGACTCAGAACTCTGTCAAAAAGGTATTATCCCCAGTTGCTTTAAAGAGACCAATATTAGCTGCAAGTGCTGCCTACTGAATGCCAACATCAGAATTAAATAGCCATAAATAAAAAGAGTTATGAGCTCATGATTAACATGACCTAAAATGAATGACCACCTCAGGTGACTTGTTCTCACTTCAGAAGTACAGAGGCGTTTATCTTGGAACAGCCCAGGCGAAGCAAAGCAGCTGCAACGCAGAACTTAAGGTTCAGGCAGGGGGACAGGGGACAACAATACAGACCGATTCGCATGCTCGAGCAGGGAAGATTTCTGGGACTGCAATTTAGCTCACGTTAGTGGTTGGACCAGAGAGCAAAAATCAGCTGAGTTAGTTACCAAATAGAGAGGTTAGCTGCCACCATAGGAAAACTGACATCACAAATAGGGATTAGGCAACAACAGGAGCAAGATGTTAAATTTTGTGAATAGCTACTTCACGTCACCACCTTAAACATGTCACACAACCTAGATGTCGTCCTAGATTCAAAGTATATTTCTTTAATCTGTATCACTTGTCTTTTTTCCTGGAACAAATTCCAGCCTTTATCCAAGTACACCGTGCAGTGCTAGCAGCCATTGTTAGAGGACTACACTAAATTAACTCACCTGAATTTGAGCTGGGAGATTGTCTTTAACTATACATAACAAGGTCTTTGTGGGCTTTTCTTTGCACATGAGAACCAGCTCCAGATCCATATCATCTTTTATCAGCAAGCCCTTTGCAACCAAGCCAATTCTCATAACACCACACAACGTCCGACCACCTTGATCCCTGGAAGTGAAACAATTCGGAGTAATTAAAATGGTATTTTCACACATTCAAAATACTTGCATTATTCTGTCACAGTGAGGAGATGAATGGATGGGACTGATGACTGTGCTAACGTGGCGTAACACTCATCAGAAAATGAAAAGCATAGACTCCTTTTATGCAAGTAGCTCCTGTGAAAAAAATTAATTGAAGCACTGATTTGCCAATTCACACGAACACAGAAGTTGCCTAGCTTAAGTCACAAAGCTTCACAAAGCTCAAAAAAGCCCAAAGTCGCTACCTGCAGATCTACCAAAAGAGTAGAATAATTAATCTAGACGAGCTCTCTGACAGAAATCCTGTTTTCAGAAGTGATCCGAGTTGTCTTTTAGTGACAATCCAACTTTAAACATGGCCACACACCTTTTCAATGTTTCTTTTAGTTGATCCATACATTCAAACCTTTATCTTTAAAATTATACAACCAACTTCTGAAGTTTTAGTCCATACTACAAGCTGACATTTCAGGAAAGCTTCTAATTTCAAAGAGTCTTCCAGGCACAATTCCTTCAACAAGTCTTACCACTGAAACCTACAGGAATAGAGGTCTGACTACTAGTTTTTACTCTGCAGCTAAGGTTTAGGAGAACATTAAAGAGCCACAGTAAACATAACTTTCAAAGCAACACAAGAACATTTTAGTTTTGAGTACTGAGAGAAAGACGGCAACAAAAACCAGTTTAGTAGACTAGGGATGCTTAAAAACATCAAGAAAAATGCAAGAAATGCATCTTTGACAGTTTAACACCAGCTGTTGCCACACGATGCATCTCACTCGTGGCACATCACCATTATAAAACCCACAGAAAGCACGTAATCAGTAAAGGTGGTAAACCACCTCAGCCAGAAAGGCAGCATCCCTGTTCACAGCGTTCTTACCATCCAGAGGGATGGACTGGATATAAAACAAAAACAACCCAAACCAAACAAAAAACCAAACCCCAAAACCAGTCACACTGTGATTGAAGGTCATCACATAGATCCTAAGCTTTGCTCAAAAGTATCTTCATCCAATAGTTGTACTGCATCTATGTTTTTTAAATGGAAAGGCAGGAACAGCTGCTTAAACAACAGACAGAAGAAAAGAAGGAATGACACAGAAAACAAAGTGGCAATCTCAACCTAGTTACTGTCCTTGGAATACCCAGAAGCAAACTAACAAAAACTGTTATGGAAGTAAACAACATCTCAACTTCCACCCTGGAACTGTGCTACTTTAACAGTATCTGGGTGCAAACGTGAGAAAACACGGAACTCCTTTAGATACAGTTTGTAACTAACATAAAGATATTTTAAGTTATATATCTCTCTACAATGTAAGCTCCTTACACTTAGCTTGTAAAGTGATTAGTAAAATAATTTGTCCCAAACAAATGCATAAACACACAAACTATTTTGTATGTATAAATAATAACACTGACATTTACAAAAACTGTACTCTAAATTTATAACAGAGCATAAGCATGAAAAATCCTGCACACCCCCGTGTGAAAGCAAGGCCATCCAATTCTCTCAAAAGCATTTACTGCAGGCTTGGATTTTTACAAAATTCTGCGCCTATTTTACCCACATCAGAAGACACCTAAAAATGTCGCCAGTAATGCTAGGAAGTCACCGACAAAACATACAGCACACTGCATATCAAGAAAGACTGTTCTTCAGCAAAACACGGAGCTTAAATACCTTCCTCGAGAAGATGAAAAAACTTAATTGTCCATCTGTGGAGAAGCAGCCCATTAATCCACTACAATTGTTCTCTGGTGTCAATACAATCACGCTGTCTTAAACCAATTTATATGTTAATTTATGTAAAAATACTCATTATTTTAAGTGTTTTGCTATTTCTATTGGAATACGTTTCACACCAGAAAAGTGACATATCACAGCTCAGCCTTACACAAAAATGCCAGTGATTAGACTTGTGTCTGTTAAATATTTATTAGGGAACACAGAAAGCCACAGGCATCAAAACGAGGGACCATTTTTGTATTTACTTTTCCAAGGCTATCATACAATGGTCTTCATGCTGCTGAACGTTCCCGTGTGGGTCAGTGTATTCTGAGCAGGTGGTGCTGCATTTAAACTTCATGTAGAGCAAGCAGTTTCCTTCAGTAGCTCCCAAGCCCACAACCTTATCTTAGAGATAATCAAAGACAAGCCTAAGTGTTAAGAAAGAAACCTGTGGAAAAACACTACTAATATTTGAGGAATTTTCTGTAGAATCCACAACGCTGTTGGGAAACCAGATCAAGTCATGAATGCTTTCTGCTCCTCCCAGCCATACAAGTGTCCTCAGTTAATATAGCACATTTCTTGTTTCTAAATTGAAGTGCATCCAGACAGCAAGGTACAGCAGGGCTTCGTACCTTATTTCCTGAATGCTACTCTAAAAATTTATGAGACTTGGAAGTAACCAAGAACCACATTATTATGATAAAATAGGAAGCAATATTTCACTTTTGAATTTTCAGACATATGTCATTACACATTTAGGAATAACTGATAAATACAATGGTAGTCACTGTCTCTTTCATACTAAGCCAGTAAACTGTATTTTCAGTTTAAAAACTGATACGGTCTTCCTGATTCAGAGTTAGATCTTCCTCCATTACCTGCACGGAATGGTATCTTACTCCAGAAGTATACAATATACAGGGTCTGTATTTCCATCTATCACTGCTAGAGTAGGCTATGCTTCCACCATCCCAAAACGTAAACAACTTTACGTATTATTTACCAGGACACCAAAAATTAAAAAAGGCCCCACAATAAACCTTTCACTGCCATAAAAGGTGTCAGAAAACATAACAAATATATATGAAAAAGAATACACTTTCTTTATCAGTTTTAATATCAGAACTTACTGAGCAAAGCCCATGTAGCAACAGACTTTCTTAATATTCTGCATGCATCATTCATGCATCATTGAAAAAGAAACGGAAAGACTCCTTTGGCTCCATCTCTAGTGCAGGTCATGCTACAGATGTAACCAGATTAAGTCCCAAGAAGTTCAGTGGAGAAGTAGTATATCACAGGAAGAGCAGAGAACTGGAAGTCGGGTTTTTGAATTGGCTGTTGGTCTCCTGGTGCTTCACTTCCTCATCTGTAACCTGGATAGATACTTACCGAGTTGGAGAGCATGTGGAACAAGATTATCCAGAAAGCACTGAAGAGCCAGAAGTGCCCAAGTTAAAAAAGTTTTACACTAAGAAACTTAAAAAAAGCCAGTTGTTCCTCCTCCTTCGTCTACTACTGGAGTTACGCTAGAACAACAAAACCTGACACCATGTCAGGGAGTAGACTGGGACATACAGCAAACAGATGTTTCACTCAGTAGAGAACTACGTAATTGTGCTGGTTTTGGCTGGGATAGAGTTAATTTTCTTCACAGTAGCTAGGATGGGGCTGTGTTTTGGATTTGTGCTGGAAACAGTGTTGATAACACAGGGATGTTTTTGTTACTGCTGAGCAGTGCTGACACAGGGTCAAGGCCTTTTCTGCCTCTCACCCCACCCCACCAGCGAGCAGGCTGGGGGGGGCACAAGAATTTGGGAGGGGACACGGCCGGGACAGCTGACCCCGACTGACCAAAGGGATATCCCACACCATATGGCGTCATGCTCGGCATATAAAGCTGGGGGAAGAAGAAAGAAGGGGGGGACGTTTGGAGTGATGGCGTTTGTCTTCCCAAGTCACCGTTACATGTGATGGAGCCCTGCTTTCCTGGAGATGGCTGAACACCCGCCTGCCGATGGGACAGAGTGAATGAATTCCTTGTTTTGCTTTGCTTGCGTGTGTGGCTTTTGCTTTACCTGTTGAACTGTCTCTATCTCAACCCACGAGTTTTCTCACTTTTACCCTTCCGATTCTCTCCCCCATCCCACTGGGGGGAGGGAGCGAGCGGCTGTGTGGGGCTTAGCTGCCTACTGCATTTAAACCGCAACAGTAATAGAAGGTAATGGATCCTTAGAAAAGTTAGGTCACTGGATAAACAACGAAAGTTTATAAAAATCTTTGTGTGTCTTAAAGTGAAGGAGCCCCTAAGCTACATGGCTGTGGATTGCATTTGTGTGTTACAGGGACGTAAATTCACTTACAATTGCTGAAAAGTTTGTCTGCTAAATGCAACTTCACAACATCACAGTAAAATAAATAATGAAATAGAGAGCAACTGCTGCCCACATTGGGCTTATTACTATTCCCTGCACTCACCCTACATGCTCCCACCTCAAAAAGTCCAAATATATCCACTTCCTCCTGTGAACATTCGTATGCAACAGAATCAACTAACACTACGACTCATTTAGAAGGAAGGGAACCCATTCAGAGCAGTACAGTAACACATTATGAGGCTCAACTCACTTGGCATTGCTTTCTGCACCTTCCTCCTTTGCTTCCGCATCACCTTCACATTTCATAGACTTGTTCTTTTCATCCATCCAGTCAGAGACATGTTTAAGGGCACATTCTACTGTTGATACCATGTTCTGGACAGCTTCAAGTTCCTCTGGAGATGGATAAATGGTTGAATGTTTCACCATAACATGGCGGTCATCATTAGCAAAAGATCGGATAGATCTCTGTTATGAAGTGGGAAACAGGGGGGGAAAAAAGAACAAAGTTACTGGATTATCAATAGAAGGACACTGCCTGAATGGGAATCCTCCCTGAAAGACGTAGGAAAATGTTTTATCATGACCATTGCTTATAATCATGAGGAGTGATTTCTTATCTTTAAATAAATTTTAAAGAGAAAAAAGAAAGAAACCAAATACCAGTGCAAAATCAGCATTAAGCTGGTAAAACATATAAGACCTTGGGTGGGGTTTACGGCACCTAATATTTGATGCCTAAATTCAACTCTTCCAGAATCCTTTTATTGGCTACTAGGAGGAATAGGCACATGTGGAGCACAGTTCATGTTTTTGTCTACCAGGCACATCTGGAGCAGAGTTTATGTTTATGTCTACTTTAGGATAAGAAATTGTGCTTTAGAGGTACATTTCCCCATCCACATGTGACTACAGAAGTCTAGACTACTATATCAGATTAGCTGCCTCAGACATCTAAAAATTAAGCAAGCTGAATTTCATCTTTTGTCTGGACCTTCCACTTATGATGGACATTGTGAGACTATGCGCTACTCACAAATCAGAAAGAGGGAGAACGTAAGTGTAGGACTAGGCAAATCTCCGTACTCCCATGTACAGCTATGGTGGATACAAAAGAGGGTCAAGACCTGTAGTATGCCTTACTCTGTTCACAATGGCTAGTAATGGAGTTTCTACATCTTGTCCTTTCATGACTTCCCCCCTTCATTTTCTTTTTTCTTATTTTCATTGTTTTTCTCACTTCTGCCAGCCCTCCCCCCCAGGCTTCTCTTTGAGAAGAGGGCATGGTCTGGCTGGCTAAGTATAAGGTTAGAGTGCTGAAGCAGGGGACCAAAAAAACCTGAGTTTCATTCCCAGCTTTGCAGCAGACAACCTAAGATCTTGGGCAACTCATTTCACTATTAAGTGTCTCTGACTTCCCTCATCCTTTGACTAGCTTGTTTATTTAGATTAAGCTTTCAAAGTCAGTGAGAAATCACTTAGGCCCTGATCTTGCCTTAAGGACCTACATCTCATGGAGATAGAAGCTGTGAGCAATAGTACTGAAAGAGAGAGGGGCTTCCCTACCCTGGAATACTTGCAGGAATCAAGGAGTTCCTGAATTTCAGCGATCTTTGTTGGCTTGCGTCAACCTTCAGCAGCTGGATAGCTCAGAGCAAAGAGAAAAGCCAGGGTCCTTATCCCAAAAGGTAACCTCATTTCAAGGTAGGGAAATTTAGAACATAAGTATTCTAGGGTGAAAGCAGACTGAGTAAAGCATGTGGAAAGGAGGGCAGACAAGGAGAATACAGAGAAGATACCTATTTTGTAAAAGGCATTTATAGTCTCCAAATACAACTCTGCATATCCTGGAAGTGCTGAGTGCAGCCATCTCTCCTCCATTTATGCTAGAGACAATGGCAACATGCCTTAGAACAAGACAATTAAATAGCCGTTCCCTTATGGTTTTGTTACTGCTGCAGATGAAGTCATAAGCAATACGTATCGCTGTGAGAGGCTTAGCAAGCTGCACAGGGATTTACAAAGGCATGAATGAAGATGAGGATAGAGATAAACTGGTAAGAAGAGACCAAAATAATTTCTTAAAAAAAAAAAGAAAGAAAGAATAGGAAGAGATTAGAGTGCTAATTAAGTTTGCAGTGAAACTCAAGTCCTGAGTGATACTGTTGAGGAAGGTAAACTGAAGTGGTTGGGTAACTTGTGCTAGGAAGCTACAGTTTGTCACACACTATCCAGATGAGACTTACTTAATCTAAACAGTGAGCCGGACCAGCTGTGATCACAGCACAGACCTCTGGCAAGAGCAGCTCTACGTCTTGCTCTCTACAGACACATCAATCACTGCTGAAACCCTCCCAGAACTTGGAATCATCAACCAAAAATCTCTATTCCTCCTACACATTAAATACCTTAAGTAGGCTTCATTTTCATCCTTACTTAATGGGTTTGTAACAGTACACACTCCTAGGGACAAAAAGAGCCTTTGAAGGATCTCAAAGGCCTCTGGGTTGAATCCTTGTTAAGGAACTGGTCATGATTTCTTGGCTCATGGCATTCAGTAGGTCCCTTCCATCGAAGGTCGATGTGACATCATTCCTTTCCTAACTTTTGTGCTCCTACCCAGATGGACAATTCAGGTAGTCAAAGAAGCGCATCAGTCGGGGTCTGGTATTATCCCCAGTACTTTCATAGGTTGCAGAATGCTTCCCGGAGGTCCCTCTTGTGGCTTATCCGCAACATGGATACAGAAAGAATCTGCAGTTCAGCAGTGAAAACTGACAAGCTGGATTTCTTAGTTCACCCCCACCATCTCTTATCTCATGAAATATCAATTAGGAAAAACAGTCAAACAGGAACAAATTAGTAACTTCTAATTTAGAAGACATTTGTTTTGTTTTCTAATGAAGAGGGACTGACAAGATCAATTCTTCATTACAATTTAGGCCAAAAATAGCAGCAAAATGGGACACTATTTAAAATCCAATATATTGACAACTCTGCTTTGTCAAGTGTTCTTCCTCCCTTTATGCTCTGTA